AAAAAAAAAAATAACCTGGAGTTTAGCCAGCTCCAGCCAGTCTCTGAGTTTGGCTTTGTGTCCATAAGCCCCAGTTGGGAGAAACGCAAGAAATGCCCAAACAGAATAAAACAAATGATCTATTTAGTCTCGTTTCCTCTCTTGGAAGAGGTCCAGTGTTGAGTGCTTTGGAAGAAGATGAAAATCCCCCTGCCCCACCCCCCTGCTCCCCAAACACCCTAACAGTATGACCTTGTATTGAAGTTTAAAACTATCCTTAGCTTCCGACGGCCGATGTGTATTGTCTGGAAGAATGATGTTTCGATGATAATAGCTGCTCATCTCCTATCTAACCCCCACTGAAAACACATTGCCCCACAGACGACTTGTTACACAACATTATAGATGCAAATGCTGTTATGCAAGACTATGTCGGCCAGGGGAAAGGAGACTGGTTATAACAGTTCACTTATACAATTAGCTTCTGGGACTGCTGCATTGTTGGGATTTTTTATTTTTTAGCTTATAAAAGGCATTTGTCGTTTTACTTCCCTTTCAAGCTGGCTTTCAAATAAATCCAATTTCCTCGTTCTGTAACTTCTGAAACATTAAACCAGAGCATCAATTCCCACTTTCCCATTTTCGTCACTACTTTTCACCAAGCGCTTCAGAGGAAAGGCACTGACGAAGTGTGTGGCTGAGTATTATTTTCTGCTTGTACTATCTGGTCAAATAGGAAGGGACACCGTGGGGGTCATTGTGACACTGACCCCTTCAAACAGCAACCTCGACCTCCTTCCTTTCACACCCAAACGACGGGTGCTGCCTCCCTACTCCCGTGTAGGTGTCCGAGCTGTCTTCTTACCTGTGTCACTGACTGTCTCCCTCCTCTACCCGCCCCCCCAAAGCCCTGTTACCAGTCACTTCCAGCACCAGCCCAGTAGTTTTCCATCATTTTTCACCACCCTTGGTCTCTGGGCAGCATTTAACTCTGGTGTTCTGCCCATTATTTGAAGCTCCTCTGTTTCTCTCTCTCCTCCAGTTTCTCACCCAGGCTTTAGCCTTTGCTCATCAGATCCTTCATGTGTGGGTGCCATGCCCTCGCCTGCTGCTCCCTCCTCTCCTCACGCCCTCCCCAAGGAGGGAACACTGGCATGTGGCCACCCGGCAGGCTTCTCTTCCCTTGTCTTGATTGCAGAATCTGGTTTGCTTTGGAGAATCAGCCTCCCTGCTCTGTGTGCCTCCCCATCGAAACTGGAAGTTGCGGTGTCTTTCCTGCCTCTAGCCAAGGGGTGAGCGTATGGCCAGGCTAACTGGGCCCCCCACCAGGACGCTGACTCCTGAGGGAGCGGGGAATTCATGGGAGCTGCCTCGCCCCAGCTTGGTGAGATTGTTTGTGAATTCTTCCCGCCTGGGCCCCCAGAGCCACCGTGTTCCTGCCCCTCCTGAGTAGAGGCCCACAGTGGACTCTTGTGAGCCTTTTCTGCTTCTAGCCAGATTCAGTTTCTGTTGCTTGCAACCAAGGACCCCCTAACTGACACACCTAGATGCGTGTAACTTGGCTTAGTTCTGGGTGAATTCCAAGCCTGTGTCGACAGAGGGCCTTGACCACTGGCCCGAGTTCCCACTCTCATATCTTCAAAGGCCTGGCACTTAGTACCCCACTTAGTACCCCATCGTCACCTCCTATCTGACAAGTCTAACACCAGGCTATTCTCATCCTTCCCAAAGCAGCTCTTCCTCCCACACCCCAAAGTGTCTTACAGGGGTGACTGCCATCCCTGTCCCCAAAGCCAGAAAAATGGGGATGGGTTCTGACTCCTCCCCTCCCCCTGATTCACCCCATATCCAGCCATTCCTGGGGAGAGTTAATAGTTTCTTTCCCAATCTCACTTATTCACCCCTTTCCCATTATTTTTCCAACTAGTTTAGTCCCTTATCACTTCACACCTGGACCCCTCCAATCACATCCTAACTAGTCTCAGCTTCCAGATTCTCTCCAGCGCTGCCAGCATAATCTTTCCAAAGTACTGCTTCAATCATGCCACCACCTGCTTAAAATGGGCCCAGGTTTTCACTCAGGTCCAAACTCCTTGGTTTAGGCAATCTTCCGTAGACATTAGGGTCACAGGCTCTGGAGTTAGACTGCCTGTGTTCAAATTCCAGTCTCACACTGTATAATTGTTTCCAAGTAGTTCAACCACTGGGCCTCAGTTTAGCTGTAAAATAGCAGATAATAATAGCACAACCTACTCGTAAGCTTGTGTGAGAATTAAGTAGTTAATCCATGAAAGGAGTTTAGCTGAGAGTCACATTGTACGTGCTCAATAAATTTNCTACTCGTAAGCTTGTGTAAGAATTAAGTAGTTAATCCATGAAAAGAGTTTAGCTGAGAGTCACATCGTACATGCTCAATAAATTCTATTACAATGAAAGCTCTCCACAATCTAACGCTAATCCACCTTACTAGCCTTATATTCTCATTTTTCTCTGGTTTGTTTCCAAAGGTTTTAGCAGTCAGAATCAATCAGTTTTTCTACCACTGTGTCATTCTTCAAACCATTCTCTCTGTTCTGAGTTCCCTTCCCTCACTGCACCTGTATCAGTAATCTAATTGTGAATTGCAAACTATCCCAATCTTAATGGCTTTAAGTACAGAATTGTAAACAAATAAAATGGTTACTTAGAGCCATTGGGTTGGTCAGGCAGGGTTCAGCCCAGATGGTTCTCTGCTCCACCCAGGCTGTCTGACCTCCCTCTCCCAGCTACAGGATCCAAGAAGGCCTCACCCACATGTGGCCCCTCAGTGGGATGCTGCGACTCCGTCTTCTCTCCCCTCTAGTGTTTTCATGTTCCCGGGCCTCTCCCCCTTGTCATATTGCAAACTGAAAGGCTTCTCTCTACCTGGATTGTCCAGCAGTACTCAGATTTCTTTGCACTATGGCTCAAGACAATAAGAAATTAAGTCGCAAGACCTCTTAAGGACTAGCCGTGGTTTGGGCACAGTGTCACTTTTGCTGCATTCAAGTGAGTCCCAAGGCTATCTCATTCTGGGGGGAGAAGCGGACTCCGCCTTTCAATGAGAGACACTGCAGCCACCTTGGGCTGCGACAACCACCTACCACAGGCTGGGCAGCTTAAACAACACACATTCATTTTCTCCTAGTCCTGGGGGCTGGAAACCCAAGGTCAGCGTATCATCAGGGTTGGTTTCTGGTGGGGCCTCTCTTTCTGGCTTGTAGATGGCCACCTTCTCCCTGTGTCCTCACATGGCCTCCCGAGAACACAGTATGATAGAGAGATCTGATATCTCTTTCCTATCAGGTTCTGAGACCATCCTCATGACCTCATTTAACCTTAATTAGCTCTTTAAAAGCTCTGTCTTCCAACAGAGTCACATTGGGGGTTGGGGTTTCAACATTTGAATTTTGGAGGGACACAGTTTGGTTTATAACAAGAGTGGGGAAAATCACATTGCAAGAGGGCATGCCGGATGGAAGGGAGGACTGCCCATTTTGGGACACAACCCACCACCCTTCTCTGCCTCTGAAATAATGTTCATGCTTCACAATTTTCCCCTCAGCCAGGCCAACATTGGTGTTTCCTCCCCCAGCACTCCTGTAGCTCTAAGTATGGGTTGCTTATTTCACATGACCACATCCTGCCTTGGATGTAAGAGTTTGGTTTAGGCTCTAACCACAAGGCAATGGCCACATTTTTTTTTTTTTTTACATATCTTTAAGTTTTCACACAATGCCTTACACAGAAAAGGCCCTAATAAGTGTTTGTTGAATAAACAAAAAATGAAATTAATTTTACTGCTCTAAATAGTGATAGCCACTCACGGACGAAGCTAGATCTGGGGCCTTGGCAGTTTTTATGCTTTGCCACTTTGTATATTTCCTCTGTCCTCTGCTTCTTCTAGACCACTGCTTATTAGAAGAACTCAGAAGGCTGGACACTGAAGGCCAGAGGGCCT